AAATGCCGATCCCTAGTACCCCACCCCCAGAAAAAACAAAAAGGGTTCCAGAAATTTACTGAAAAGGCACCTCATCTGTGACAAGGCAGGTGACCCACCTATACTCTAGTACTTCTCAAATTTTTGTTTTGTTTTGCTTTGCTTTTTTTGTTTTGTTTTATTTTGTTTTTGTTTTTCTGGTACTGGATTAAACCCAGCGGCACTGTACCACTGACCTATATCCTCAGCCCATTTAATTTTTTTTTTTTTTTTTTTTTAGTTAGGGTCTTGCTAAATTGCACAGGCTGGCCTTGAATTTTCAATCCTGCTTCAGTTTCCTGGTAAAAAGATTACAGACATGTACCACTAAGAATAGTACATGGCTGGTACTTCTCAAATGTTAAGGGACATAGGAATCACCTGGGGATCCTTTAAAACAGTGGATTCTAGGGTGGGATTCAGAGGCTATAGTTCACAGAACCCCCAAGTGACACTGTACAGAACTCATTTTAAGTGACCAGGCTCTAAACCTTTCCAGTAGCCAGGTTAATGAACCCACAGGCACTCAACCAGTGAACTACATCCTCAGCCCCTCTTAAAATTTTATTCTGAGATGCTGTAATCCTAGAGATTGGGAGGCCAAAGTAGGAGGATAACAAATTTGAGGCTATTGGGTTCGGGATATAGCTCGGTTGGTAAAGTGCTTGCCTATCATGCACATGGCCCTGGGTTCAATCCTCAGCACCACACATACACACACACAAAAATAATAATAATAAATAAAAATAAAAAATAAAAAAATTGGGACTATTGTGGGCAATTTAGGAAGAACCCTGTTTTAAAATTAAGAAAAAAAAATTGGAGAGGATACTGGGAACTACCACAGAGCCCTGTTTTTTATTTTGATAGAGTCTTTCTAAATTGTCCAGGTTGGCCTTGAATTTGGGATCCTCCTGCCCGAGCCTCCAAGTAGTTTGGATAATAGGAATGTACTACCAGACACACCTAGGTKGGTTCACTGTTGCCTGGGAAGTCACATAAATTTTAAAGTGCAACTGGGTAGGTGTAATCCCACAGAGGCCTGTAATCCCTGCAGCTCAGGAAGCAGAGGTAGAAGGATCCCCAGTTCAAAGCCAACCACAGCAATTTAGCAAGGCCCTAAGCAACTCAGTGAGACCCTGTCTCTAGATAAAACATAAAAATTAGGCTGGGGGTACTGGGGATGTGGCTCAAGTGGTATCGAGCTCACCTGGCATGTATGCGGCCCGGGTTCCATCCTCAGCACCACATACAAACAAAGATGTAGTGTCTGCCAAAAACTCAAAAATAAATATTAAAAAAATTCTCTCTCTCTCTTAAAAAAAAAAAAAAGGGCTGGGGATGTGGCTGGTAGTCAAGTGTCCCAGGGTTCAACCCATGAAATAAACAAACAAAGCACATCAGCAACAAACTGGGGATATATACCCTTGGAGAACCTGGTTAGAAAATCTCTCCCTGAAACCAAGCAGGTTTGAAGGAAGAGGGAGTCAACGATGCTGACAGATTACTGGAGAGCGCTGAGGACCTGCAGGCAAAATTTTTGTTTGAATCTGGATCATAACGCCATTCATCCCCCAAAACACCCAAGAAATTACTCCTGCCTGCAATTTCCACCACCCTTTGATAAAGACTGGATTTTCACCAACAGGTTATGTCATAATTATCAGTTAGGTGTCTACCTTTTTTAAAAAATATTTTTTTAGGTGTCAATGAACATTTATTTTATTTACTTATATGTGGTGCTGTGAACTGAACCCAGGGCCTCACGCGTGCTAGGCAAGTGCTCTACCACTGAACCACAAACCCAGCCCAGGTGCTTACCTCTTATCCTGTAATGTGAAGTGGGGGAAAGGAGCAATGATATTCTGTCCCCTGACACTGCCCTGGCCTGACCCAAGTACCGTGCCCTCCCCCATAATGCTTCTTTAACATTTGTTGGACGTTTTTCACAATTTGTGGGTTCTGGGGAGGCCAAAGTTCAGGACTAATGTCTTCCCTTACTAACTTCACCAGGGGGCGCGACGGCCCGGCGACACAGCGACTGTGATCCGCCGTCCCAGGTCTCTAAGGGCTTAGCGGGCGGTCTCCACCTCCCCTCCCAACGACCTGGGCGGGAAACCGAGGCAGCGCGGAAGCCGCTGCCCGAGACTTCTAAATGGGGGGCCCCACTTTGGGAGGCATCGCCGGAGCCTGGGTCGCCTGGAGCTTGGCTCGCCAAAGCAGGGCGCCCGGAGCCGGGCCGGTAACCAGGCGCACATGGCCCGCCCGGCCCTGTTTGTCCTGGCAGTGCGCCGCCGCTATTTGAAGCGGTTTTTATCTTCCAGAAACCAGCAAAACCCCAAGCGGAGTCTAGGGAAGATGAAAGGAGCCGAGGGGCCGGGGAGGGGAGGACCGCGAGGCTGCGGCGGGCAGGAGCTGGCACCGGACAGGCGGAGACCGGGAGGCGAGAGGGCCAGACCCTGGGGGGTCCCGAGGAGCCTTCCTTCCCCCGGGTGGGGGTGGGAGCTTGGGTCCGCTCCGGACCTCTCTCTCAGACCAGCTCCGAGGCGCCCCCCCCCCGCCACTCATCTCCAGCCTCCTCTCCCAGACCTCTCTTCCGCCACAGCCCCCAGCCCACTAAAGAAATCCTCGGAACTCGGATTTCTTCAAAGCGACTTTGAAGCTGCGCGCCCCGCCCGAGGGCAGGAGATTTCGCACCTGGGCGGGGGCAGGAGAGGCGGCAGGGTGGGGAGGGGGCTCGTAACCCGAGCCCGCCCTGCTCCCCGCCTAGGACCGCCGACTCCCTCCCACCGGCTCCTTCGCCGCTCGGGACCGGGCAGGGTGGTCAGTCCGTCGGAGGGTGCAGGCGGGAGACAGGCCCAGGCCTCGAGGAGCGCCCAGTGGGGACGCTCTGGGGGGCGGGGGCCGCACAAAGCCCTATTGTGGCTTGGGGATGGCCGCCACAGAGTGGCTTTTGTTCCTCCGCTAACTCCGTGGCGGGCACGACTGATTGCAGGCTCGGGGCAGGGGGCGGGTTACGTGCCAGGCGGGGTCCGCCCGCCGGGAGCCGCAGCTTGGCGAGGCTGGGGCCGCGCGCTAGTCCGCTTTGCGACTGGGGTGCCCAGACCGGGTCACTGCTCTGGCCAAAGTCGGAGGTGTAGTGTGAGAATACTACTAGAATAGGGCCCTGGAAGATAACACCTCTACCTTCCCCACTCTGCGGACAGTACTGGACCGTTAAAAACAACCCCGCTTGGAGTGCGTGGCCGACAGAGTGTGTTACCTCGAGCATAAAATGCAAACGAGCATAACTGAATATCGCACATAGAGTCCCTGGCTTTGCTAAGGAAAAGCTGTGGCCCACCCTTCGCCCTTCTCTTCCCTTTTTCTCACCAGGACACGATTTCAAATTGAAATTTTATTAAATTAAAAAAAAAAAAGAACTCCACAAGGGGATGATTCTTTGCCTTCCACAATGTTACCCTCTCCCCAAGTTCCAGCAGCTTTACCCTTTAACCTGGGGACTTGTGGGAGCAGGGCACAGAAAAGGAGGATCCAGAGTCTCAGAAAAGGTATTCAAAGGCACTAAGCGGCTTTAAAAGTCACTGGAGGTGGAGTTGGAAGTCCCAGGTTGGGGGCTTGCAAATGCACCCCCAAATCAGTTTGGGGACCTCTTTCCTCCTAAGCTCTATAAATTCTTTCTCATGGTTTCTAGGCACCAGGCCTAGCACAGTGCCTTGCACAGGATAGGCACTCAATAAATACTTGATTTATTTTAATCTGATCCCAGAGAAAGACTTCCCCCTCCATTGTTCAGGAGGAGCATCTCCAAATCAATGTCCTCCTGTTAGGTGGGCTTCCCCAAAGAGCACGTTTTAGATGGCAGCTGTAAGCTCTCCCTAACCATGACAACAGGGAATTAGCCTGATGAGATCATGGTGTCTGAGAGAAGGGGCAGTGGAAGAACCTGCTCTGGGGTCAAGGGAGCTGGGATACATTCCAGTCCTTCTCCCCTCCATAGGACTTGAGGTTTCACAGCTTCTGACTGGGGCTGGGGATACTAGAGATACTCACATCAACTCTTTTAACAGAGATCTAGCTAACCAACCCAATTTGTTAAAAACTCCATTGAAAGAGAAACCCCACTGAGACCCTGATGATAGAAATTCTATTAACAAGACCTCCACTACCACTTTGTCTATACAGCAATACATTTGGCTAGAATTTCCTTAGCAGAAATGGATCCCCTTCCCTCCCCAGCTCATTCTACCGGACCCGTCATCATAACTTAGATAAATAGAATTATTATTACTAGTATTCATTACTCGGGGTGCATGGAGTTAAATATATAGGCCTGGGGGCAGCCTCCCTGACCCAGGGGTTACCCCATCTTTGGGATCAGATCCCCACTGGTTTGCCCCACTCTTGGCACCCTGCTCCCAGCCAGGTCAATAACCCCAAGCCTCCTATAACTGGGGTCTATAAGGAAGAAGCCACCAGGGGGCAATAAATTATCATCATCATTAACATCATCATCTTGTTTGTGAAAAAGGAAAAAAACTCTGCAGAATGGAAAGTCGTGGAGTAAGTTGGGAAGACAAGCCTGGAAGCTGAGTGATAGCAGTAAATAAGCTTGTGAAGCAGAAAGGAATTAGTAAGAGGGAGAAATAGTGTTGGGAAGCTAAATGGAAAGAAAGTGAGTTGGCATGGCAAAAGCCAAGGAGAGAAAACCTGTGAACAAGGGGTGAAGGAAAACCTACGAACCAAGAGCACAGGAATCGGGCACAAAGTGAGGGCCTGAGATGAGAGTTTGGCCGAAAGCCAGGCTCATGGCAAAGGGAGGAGGTGAGCTGAGCAGGCGTGCAAGGAGATAACCAGATCCAGAATGGCCAAGGTAGAGCCTCAAAAGACAACATGCATGGAAAAAAGAGTGAGGGACAATAGTCCATAGAGCCAAGAGAGGCTGGAAAGGCGGCCCTGACACTGGAGACCCTCCACCCAGCTCAGATCTCCAGCAGGTTGCTCTGCTCCGGGCTGCCTCCAGGGGCTTTCTCTGGGGGTGCTGGTGAGGCTGAAGGTCGGGGTGTCTGATTGGTCTCCTCTTCTCCCACGCCATGGCCCTCCCCTAGCTCCTTGGGGCCACTAGCAGGGGGTCCTGGGCCTGGCTCGCCATGGGTGCGCTGGTGTTTGCTCAGGTGGTCACTTCTGGTAAAGCGCTTAGAGCAGAGCAGGCAGGTGAACTTCTTCTCCCTGGTGTGAGTACGAACGTGACGCTCCAGCTCATCTGAACGGGTGAACCTCTTGCCACAGAAGAGCCAGTTGCAGACAAAAGGCCTCTCTCCTGTGTGCCAGCGTAAGTGCGCCTTCAGGTGTGAGGCCTTGCCATACACTTTGCCACAGCCAGGGATGTGGCAGCTGTGAATGGGCTTCTTCCGCAGCCCAGCTGCTGCTGCCCCTAGCCGCTCTAGCTCCTGGCAGTTGGGGCAGTCACAGGAGGAGCGCCCTGCCCCACTGCCCCCATATCCACCGCTGGACCCAGTGCCTGCACCCCGAGGTGGTTTGGCTCCACCACTCCCTTCTAGCTGCCCACTATTGCCAACAGCCTTGGGCTTATAGACATCTTGGGGCAGGACGTGCTGGGGCCCTGGTTGCAGGAGGTGGGGTGCTGGGTAGGGGGCTGGATTAAGGGGGTTAAAGTCAGATGGGTAGGTAGGTAGCTGGGGGTTCAGTGGAGGCTGAGCAGGGCCTGTGGGCAGCGTCCCTTGCAGCCCATCACCCTGGCCCTGCCCACCACCTAGCCAGTTGCCCCCAGGGTGCATGTCCCACCAAGGAGCAGGAGTGTTGCCTGGGCCTGGAGAGATGCCTGCATGGATGCCCGCCTTGTACCAAGAGCCGTATGGGTGTGCCATGTCCAGAGAGGTGTAGACACTGGGCAGGCAGTCAGAAGAGCTGTGTCCCTTGGGCATTAGTAGCCCAGGGTCCTGGGTGCCTGTGGGCCCAGGGAATGAATGAGAAAAAGGTGGGTAGTCATTGGCATAGCCAGAGGTGGGTGCTGGAGGACTGCCTGCAGGTGAGAGGAGACCGTTGGTGCTTGAAAAGGGGGCTGGGTAGGCATCCCCCATGGTTTTGGGAGCTGAAAGATCAGAGTATGGCTTCTTTGTGCCTGCTTTGCTCAGTGTTGTTGAGTCCCGCAGAGGGCTGGAGCCACCAAATTTGCTGCATGCAGCTGTCAACATGGCCAAGGGACTGGAGCCATAGTGAGCATCCTCCTGTGGAAAGAAGGAAGCACTGCTTAGGGGAAGAGGAGAAGGCAGAAGAAAGGGCAAAACTCTAGGACTGAGACCTAGAGACATGAAGAATGGAGCAGAGGGGTCAGGGAAGAGTTGGAAAGGATAGGGGACTAGAGGGAAGAGAGGTGCGCCAGTGAGGCCTGGCATCCAGGCAGAACTAAATTAGAGTCATGAGGGCTGGGGTTGTGGCTCAGTAGTAGAGCGCTTGCCTAGCATGGGTGAGTCACTGGGTTTGATCCTCAGCATCACATAAAATAAATAAATAAAATAAAGGTATTGTGTCCTCTTGGGGGGGCTGGGGATGTGGCTCAAGCGGTAGCATGCTCTCCTGGCATGCGCGGGGCGCTGGGTTCGATCCTCAGCACCAAATAAAAATAAAATAAAGATGTTGTGTCCATCGAAAACTAAAAAATAAATATTAAAAAATTCTCTCTCGGGCTAGGGATGTGGCTCAAGTGGTAGCACGCTCGCCTGGCATGCGCGGGGCGCTGGGTTCGATCCTCAGCACCACATACAAATAAAAAATAAGGATGTTGTGTCCACTGAAAACTGAAAAATAAATATTTTTTAAAAATTCTTTCTCTCTCTCTCTCAAAAAAAAAAAAATGGGGGCTGGGGATGTGGCTCAGTGGTTGAGTGCCCTGGAGATCAGTCCCTGATGCTGCCCCCACCAAAAAAAAAAAAAAAGAAAGAAAGGAAAATGGAGGCCCAAGACTTCAGCCTAACACCTCAGCCAAAGAGGCAGGAAGCAGAGACCATGTGGAGTTGTTAGGGATGTGTAAAGGCCTTCGAGGAACAGAAGACTCTAAATTACTGAGAAGAGCTGGGATAGAAGCAGCAGCTAATACTGGGCATGGTGGCACATGCCTGTAATCCCAGCCACTTGTGAGGCTGAGGCAGGAGGATAGTAAGTTCAAGGCTAACCTCAGCAACTTATGAGAATCTGTCTCAAAATAAAAAATAAAAAGAGCTGAGAATGTAGCTCATTGGCAAAGTATCCCTGTATTCAATCACAATACCAAAAAGAAGAAGAGGAAGAGGAGGAGGAGGAAGCAGCAGCTTAGTGAGGTGAAAATTATGATCTCAATGATGGGAAGCAGGTTTATAACAGAAAGAAATCACAGTCAGGGACTCAGAAAAAAAGATGCAACTCAAAGAGCAGCATGGAGCCAAGCACATGTGTCCAACACCTGTAGTGCCAGCTACTTGTAAGGCTGAGACAGGAGTATCCCTTGAGCCCATGAGTTCAGGACTTGCTTGATTTAGGACAACATAACAAGACCTTGTCTCAAAAAAAAAAAAAATTAAAAAGGTAGAAAAAGAAGTATTAGGAAATCATATCTGCCCCCATTCTTGATTTTGCTGGCTTCACCCTTTAATCCACTTCCTGCCTCTGCTTCATCTCCTCACTTAGGCAGTGACCTGGTCTCCCTGAGGTCCCAAGTCCGCATGTCCCTAGTAAGGAATCTCTTGGCAGGCACTCAGGGACTGAGAGACAAGAGGAAGCAACAGCAGAGACACTGGGACATTGAGAGGCAATAGGGCTGCCGCCAAGCCAGGACTGTGGCTGAGGCAAGAATGTCTTTCATGCAAGCAGTGGGCACCTCCTGCTTCATGGTACCAGCTGGTGGGTGGAAGAGCCCAAAGTCTTCAGACCCCTCCAAGGCAGGGAATTGGAGTAGCTAAGATACTGACTCACAGCCATATCCCTCCATGCCTCAGTATTCCCCAACATGTAGCCTATGTCACTAGTTTCTTTTTACCTTTCCAGTGTAGTGAGTGAAGGAAGACATGCATGTGGGACTTGAGAGGGTCTTTTGGAAATGCAGAGGTATCTCCTTAATGCCCATCAAGCCACTGCTATCAAGTCATACCACACTTAAGACCACCTCCCTCAGGAGCTCATGGTAACCCTCCCTAGGTCAGACTTAGTACCTCCCAGGAGGAGATGCCCTCCAGTATCCCTGGCTAACATACACATGTTTCTATTACTAAGAATTTGACCAAAAAAAAAAAAAAGCATTCAAAAGCTGATCCTGTAGAGTTCCCTGCTTGAGTTCCTCAAAAGCCAATTACCTGGTGTCTTTCTAGTAGAGTTAAGAACCCCAAAGGGACTGCATATATATATATAGTTCAGTGGTAGAATGCTTGCTTAGCACACACAGGGGTCCTGGGTTCATCCCAAGTACTGTTAAAAAAAAAAAAAGAGAGAGAGAGAGAGAGGGCTGGGATTGTGGCTCAGTGGTAGAGTGATCACCTAGCATGTGTGAGGCCCTGAGTTCAATCCTCAGTACCACATAAAAATAAATAAAATAAATATATTTTAAAAAGAAAGAAAGAAAGAAAAAAGAATCCAAGGGTTTTAGAGCTGTCTAGCAGCTCCAAGCATGTGGTAAGTGTGTGTGATACCGAAACTAGAGTTAGGTCTGGGATCTCAGGGTTGCAATGAGTGGAGTGGACACTCACTACTGCTGTATTACTCCCCAAGTACAAACCAGCTGTTCCCCCTGTCTAACCAATTGGCTCCTTGGGATCCCAAATTTGAGCCACTAGTAGGTTTGTTTTCTAGTCAGAGGCTTCCCTGGAGCCTCTGATACCCCAGAAGGTTAGTTAAGGCAGGATCTGACTCCTGCCCCACTGGCAGGACAGGTGGGAACATGGAGTTAGAAGGACACCTAGACATCAGGGTGCAAAGGACCCCTACAAAGAATAAGGAAGTGCCATAAAAGCCTCAGAGGACAGGGACAAGAGGTGGGGAACTGGAATTAAGAGGCAGAAATGGGCAGGACCTGAAAAAGCAGAAAGGTAAAAAGACAAAAAGGAGGGAGAGAGAGGAAAGCAGAATAAACAAAGAAGGAGAGGTGGTGGAAATGAGCCTTGGCTAGAAAAGCTAAGGAAAACAGAGGCAAAGACAGAGGGGGAGAAGAGAGGCTGGGAGTGGGGGGCAAGGCAACGTACTTCCTACCTAAGAGAAAACCACCGTGGTGCTGGGCCCCAGAAAACCCCCAGACCAGGCCACTCCTCCCTCCTTCTCCCCCTTGACCGCCCCCTCCCCCTCTGCCCAGCTCGGCTCCGATGGTTTCCCTGTGGTCGGTTTATTTTTAAAAACGCCGACGCCGTCCCCCGCCCGGCCCTCACACTGTGGCCACAGGGGCCTCAGCCAAGCCCAGGGACCCCACCCAGTTGTGGGGAGGGAAGGAGGGGTGAAAGGAGGCAGCCGGTCCCAAGCCAACAGGAGACCCCAGCCCTGGGTTGCTGAGGCCCTGGGGCCCCTGCAGGCAGGGAAGGAGAGACAGGGCACCAGAGCCACCAAACTCTCCTGGGGGACCAAAAGCTGTGCATGCCGCTGAGTTTCACCATAGTCTTAGTTTCCTTTTCTGGCTGATTGCTCTCTCCTGAAAACTAGAGGAGAAGGTCCCGCTTTAGGAGTCTGAATGTGTGCCCCATACCCCATCAAATGTCTTGCCTTCCAGGACCCAAGATTCCCACCCTACATTTATTTGTCTCCTGCCCACAGCCTTGAACCCAGCATCCAAAAATAAAAAAATTAAAAAAAATAAGAAGAAGAAGAAAGAAAGAAAGAGAGAGCGACACACGCCCCCCACCCCCACCCCMAAAAAGAAAACAGGTTTAAAGTGCTGAAGGGGAGTCCTTGGAGAAAGAACAAAATAGAAGCTGTCCCAGCTCTCTCACCCAGACATGGAGTGGGGCAAGAGGACCCCCTTCTTCTAAGGAGCTTACAGTGTAATGCCCAGCCCCACCAACCAATGGAAAAGTCTACTGTAGGGCTGGGGTTGTAGCTCAGTGGCAGATCACTTGCCTTGCATGTGTGAGGCACTGGGTTCCATCCTTAGCACCACAAAAAAATGAAACAAATAAAATAAAGGCATTCTGTCCATCTACTACTACAAAAAAAAATTTTTTTAAAAGAAAAGTCTACTATACATCTGACAGCTGGCTGGCCTTAGGTTCTGACCACCCAATGTCCCCATTCCTAGTTTTTAACTTTCTAGTCTTCTTCCAAGTTTCTTAGTTCTCTTGGCGTCCCAATTCTTTTTCTCTTTCTTTCTATCTTTTCCTTTTCCTTTTCCTTTTCTTTTTTTTTTTTTTCTTTTTTCTTTTTGGAAGAAGGTGATAGTGTATGTAGGGTGCTGCTGATCAAACTCGGGGCCTCACATGTTAGGCAAGTGCTCTACCACCGAGCTCTATCTTTAGTCCATTGCCCAATTTTCCATTCCTACCTCCCCCTCCCACATTTCTCTCTCTCCCAGATTCCCCTTCTTTTCACTGTATCCAGGTGAGCCTCCCATCACACAGCAGCTGCTTCCCTCTCTGAACCCCAGGTTCTTCCCACTGCCAGGCAGAAAGATTCCCAAAGAGATAGGGAAGAGTTTGAAGGCCCAGGTAACCAAAGACCAGGTGAAAGAGATGGAGGGACTGGAGAGCCTTTGTGCTTAGGGCATCTTCAACTCACAGGGAGTGATGGGACTTGAAAACCTAACTTCYACAACAGACTCCTCCTCTTTCCACATGCACCCCCAATCCTATGTCTATCCAGCAAGCCTCTGGGCTGCCCTTCCCCCAGGCACCAGTGCCACGCTGGCAACACTGGCATGATGCCTATGCCCACTGACACTACCCCTGCCCTGACTGGACCCAGGATTTTCATGTACATTCTTCCAGCTTCAAGGCTAATGTTGCAATGATGGCTCAATAAAAAGTCTACTGGGGAGATGGTAAGAGGACATCTGTCCCCATTGCCTGAGGGTAAARAATAGCACTTGGGAACCCCTCATTGGATACAGAATAATAAGAAGCATGGTGTCTACCTCATTGGCATGCATGCCATTCCCTCAAACTCAGCCACAAACTCACTATCTCACAGTCTTACACAGATACCATTCCTCACTTGAACTATCACCACCCAGATGCCCAGTATATTCTCTCTCTCTCTCTCTCTCTCTCTCTCTCTCTCACACACACACACACACACACAACACACACACACACACACACACACATACACACACCACACACACACCTGTACTCTCACAATTCATCTGTGTAAAGTCACACTTGACTATACTCTAACACTTCCATGCAGCCAATAGACACAAGTGTCAAAGAACTGCTTTTCTATCTCACACACACCTCTTCTTCAGGTTGAATGAGTTGACTTCCTGTTTGGCCCATCACCCTGGGATTTGTTAGGGCACCAGAAACAAAGATTGGAGTTTCTGAATGCCAGAAGAATAGGGGAGATTTAAGGCTACTGAAAAGAATTGACTCTCAAGGAGGGCTCTTTAACCCCAAATTCCTTCAGAGGGACCCAGAAAGCAGGACACAGATGGTGACAGAGAAACAGAGTCAGAGAGCCAGAAACCGGGAGAACTCAGGTCCTGAGCAGTTGTGAGTCCTTCAATTCTGTGCTTTAGGTTCCCCAGAAGCCCTGGGAGAGTCAGTGATTTCTCAAGACTCAAACCTCCATGGTACCCTAGTTCCATCCATCCCCAGTGCCAGAGGCAAGGGATACTGGGGTCCCAGCCTAGAGAGGGGAAATGGCCCAGTCCGCCCTGGAGCCTCCCACTCCCAAAATAGAGCTGAGTTTGTCTTTGGCTGAAAGCTAAATATTTGTGAGCCGGGCAGGCGGCCTCAGACCCTGTCCCTCCTCCTTGGTTCCCTCTCAGGCCTGGGCTCAGTTCCCCTGGTCAGTCCCCCCCACACASACCCGCCCTTGCAGGGCTGCCCTCCTCCTCTCCTTTCAGCCTACCTCCTCTCCACACACCGGCTCACAGGCCCAGCCCCTCCCCCAYACAGACCAAACAAGATCCTACTTAGGCCAGGAATCCTAGGGCACCAGAGCCCCCAAAGAACTATAGCCAATTGCTACTCCATGCCCACTCAGCCAGTCCTCTCTGCCTTCCCTCTCTCCGACTGCTGGTATCCGTTTGTATCTGTTTCCACCCTTCTCTTCTTCCTCCTTTTCTCATTGCTTTTCCACTCCTCAGTTAGTGGCTTAGTTGACCTTAGGGGTCCATACCTTCTGACCCAATGTTCTCTCACCCTCCTCTGACTGTCCTTTGACTCCTGACCCTATACTTCTCTGCCTTTTCTCCTGCCCCCTGCTGGCCCCTCCATGGAGCCCACTCCTCTCTTCTCAACAGAAGGACCCTGGAAGTGACAAGCACCACAGCTACTGTCTATGTGAGTTGAGGGGGTGGGGTGGGCAGGGATTAGGACTTTAGGGTTGTGGCTGGTTTCCTAGGGGGAGGAGGGGGCAGTTACCTCAAGCAGGGAGGACGCCATCCTGAGGCTGGGGAACGGGTCCCAAGGAGCCAGGCAGATGGAGAGAGCCGAGCCGGAGAGAGGGAGAGGGGAGAGGGAGGGAGAATGGGAGAATGGGAGAGAAGAGATCTAAAGTTAGAAGGGACTGGGGGGTGGGGGGTGGGGGGGCTGCTCTCTGTCTGTAGGGATCCACCCTCTAATTACAGCTTTCCCAGCGGAGAAGGCTCCGGATCCAATGAGGAGGGCGAGAGAGGGAGGCAGAGGGTCCAAATTTCCTGCTCCATTTGCTGAGCTCCCCAAAGAAGGGATCTGGGAGGGAGAAGAGAAAAGGGGCATCCAGGGAAGGGGTGGGAAGGAGGAAGGGGGAACAGGAGCATGGACAAGTTGTCAGGGCTTCTTTGGGGGTGCCCTAGGGAAAGGTTAAAGGGATGGTGGACCCAGGTGTCCTATACACCCCCGACAACCCCATAGGCTTCTGTGGGTAGCCCTCCCAGAGCTCTTAGCATCTTGTACCTGGGGAAACCTGAGGCTGGCTGTCCCAAATCTCTCCTCGCTGGAGGTCTGGCAGGGAGAGTGCAGGCAACGGGTGGCCTGAGGGTGCTGGGAGGGATCCGCTCCTCTCCCAGGCCAGCTCCACTCCTTTTCCCACTGGGCTCTGATCTTACAATCCTACTCTGACTCCAGAGTCCTTGCTGCTGCTCGGCGGCGACGCGGCTTCTGCTGCTGCTGCTGCTACTGCTGCTGCTGAGGCTGCTGCCGCCCGCCGCTGCTGAGGGAAGGAACAGGAGGGAAAAGGAACAAACCCCAAACCACTAATTAGAGATCCAAGGGGGGGGATGGGGGACTGGGGACGACACTCACAGAGAGACTGGAACACACTGACATACACACTCATGGACAAACACGGGGATGATGCATGCACACCACATGTATACACGCAGCACTACCCACACAAGTACTGCCACTGTCATGAATGAACACAGAAAAACTCACATACAAATGAACATGGGGACACGCTGGGGACACATACCCCCCACACACTTGAGCTCACCACAAAGATGCTTACCTCCCCATTCACCCACATCGAACTCAGAAGGTGTGTGTGTGTGTGTGTGTGTGTGTGTGTGTGTGTGGCCAGGAGGGAAGGTGTGCCCAGGGGTGGAGGCTTCTGCTGCCCAAACTTTTAGGGTTACTGAAGTAGGTTGCAGAGCCAGACCTGGAAGAAGGGGTGTAGAGTAGGAAAGGGCTGGGCACAGGCTTAAGGATCCCTTAGTCTTCCTCTTTCCAGTGCCTCAGTTTCACTGCTAGGAAGTGATACTTAGGCTCACCTTGCTTTTTATGGCAGAACCTTGGAATCTGGCTCTAAAAAAACTTAAGGCAGGCAGGAATGAGGATTAGGGCAGAGCTCTTTGGGTCAACTCATACATGCCTATGCTTAGCCCCTTTGGGTTACCCCCCTACAAAAAAAAAAAAAAAGTGCCCTAGCCTCTCTTATTCCTTAACAGTTACCCAGTTGCCATTCTTGAGCGGGGGTTTAATTTCCATCCTTTGACAGATAGTTCTTTTCATAAGTGATCATACTTCCCAGGTTCCACTGCTCATTGCCTTGCACCATTCCATCAGCAACAAAAAGAACTGAAGTGAAAGCTTAATCAGGGCTTCCTAACTCTGACTTCCCATCAAAATGGGATAGAAGAAAGCTGGCCATAGTGGTGCACACCTATAATTCCAGTGGCTCTGGAAACTGAGGCAGAGGATCACAAGTTCAAGGCCCACCACAGCAATTTGTTGAGGCTCTGTCTCAAAATAAAAAATGAAAAGGACTGGGCATATAGCTCAGTGGCAGGGCACTGCTGGGTTTAATCCCTAGTACCAAAACACATACACACACACACACACACACACACACACACACACGCATACACGCATGCATACACACATGAAAAGTAGAGAAGGAAGGTGAACCATATTGGGAAAGGGCAACCCAAAAGGTAAAGGTCTGTTAACTGACAGATGGGTCCTGGGGTAAGTTTATGGGAGAGAGAAGACTGGGCCACCAAGTGGTAGAACCAACATCTGTCCCACTGTAGTGTGTGTGGCGCGCGGGGGGGGGGGGGGCCGGACCTGGCAGGGGTTGTTAGGCAGGTTTTTTCTCCAACACAACCCTGGGTCCCCTCCCAGCCCTGCCTGTCTTTCCCCACTTTCCTTCCTTTCCTCACTTTYTCTTTCTAAGGGCCCACTTCCGTGCTTCTTTTGTACTCCCAGCTCTCCAAGGAAAAAGCTCGGAGGTGAAAGGAGCAGATAGAGGTCCAGGGAGGGTACACAGCAGCTTAAGCAGCAAGCAGGAACCAAGTTCAGGGTAGGACGTATTTCCCCACAAGGAATCCTGTGAGCCCAACTTTGCAGGAAGGGGTTAGGAACCAGGTGGCCTTCAGACAAAAGTAATGAAGCAAAAGGAGAAACACAGAAGGACCAAGAGACATAAGAGCAAGTGATACAGTCCAAGAGAATCAGAAGAGACATCAAAAGGCGTAAGAAAGAGGGAAAAGGAAAACAGAAGACCAGATATGTGGCTTTGGAAAAACCAGAGAGACCAGGAAAAAAAAAAAAAAACAAACAAACAACTAAAAGAGGAACAAAGATGGAGAGACAATGGCTTAGAAGGACAGGGGAATAGCCAGAGGCTTGGCCAGGTCTGGAGGAGGTGGAGGGTTAAGTAGCCAGCAGGTGGGGGGGCGGGGAGGGAGTATAAATAGCACATAATTGTGTCCGATGATTACATGGGCCACCCCACCCGTCTGCCCTAGAGGAAGTGCCCGTGGTGGGGTGTCCCTGTGACCTTGCTGTCTCCCCCTGGTTGCCTGGTTGGGGGGGTAGTTTAGCCTGAGCCTCGGGTGCTGGTTGGATTTCTGGGGTCCCTAGATCAGAAGTTGGGAGAAGAAAGGCAGGCATTAGAGAAATTGCTGTATTGCCAATAGAAGAGAAGCAAACCAGTTAGATCAGGCAGGAAACTGAGGCAGGGGAGAAATCTGAGACAGCAGGTGTGAGAGGGGGTTGGTGCTCAAACTAGATTGGAGAAGAAAAAAAGACTGAAAGGGAAACAGAAAAAGGGTAGGGCTGGGGTTGTGGCTCAGTGGTACAGTGCTTGTCTAGCATGTGTGGGGCCCTGGGTTCGAGTCTCAGAACCACATAAACAAATAAATAAAGGAGTTGTGTCCATCTACAACTGAAAATAGTTGTGTGTGTGTGTTTTTTTTTAAGGGTAAAAAGATGAAATGAAGGACAGGACGGGGGGAGGAGATTAGGAGAAGGATCAACCTTCTTTACTTCCCTTGTGGGCTTTAGTAACCCTTAATCCTACCTGGGAAGTGGCAGAAGTGTTCAAACCCATAGAGTGCTAGAAAAGAAAAAGAAGGAGCAGGGTCCTGGGGAATGTGAAGCAGAGCCCTTGATGTGACAACCCCAATAGGTTAGCCCCTGGACTGACCATGACCCCCATCAAAGTTCTGCACCAGACTGACAGAGTGGCTGCCCAAAACCCTCTGTAGCCCTCAGTCCCGCCTGCCTTAGGTCCTGGCTTCTGACTTCTTCCACACCCATTTTAAACATAGTACTGCAGCCGAGCTGAGGTCCTGGTATTCCTGGGTCTTGTTCCCCACCCTACTTCCCCAGTGCGTAGGGGGTAGGGGCAGCAACTGGAATCCCTTACCAAGGACCCACTTCCACCCTCTCAGGCCTCCCTCAGCCCAGCCTTCCAGGGGGTGGGGCAGCCCAGGCAGAGGCGCCATGTGGCAGGGGCGGGTAGAGGCTGCGGCTCTGGTCCTTCCAGTATAAACCCCCTAGGCATCTGGTTTCTATCCACCACCCCCCACCACCCTAGGGGCCCCTCAGCCTCCGCCCATGGCCACCCAGACACTGAGCTCCCAGTGATGGACGCCCCTGAAGGAAGGGGTGGGATAGTACCTTTCTGATCTCCCAAAACCAGGACTGGGTTGAACCGCAGAGACCTCTCCCTTCTCTCCCTCCCCTGGGAGAATCAGGGTGGGCTTTCTAGGCTATAGGAGTTGAATCTGGAACCTACCTCATTCTGTCTAATGATTTTGGATCTTTTTGGAAAGGTCAGTGGGAGTAGAGAGAGAGCAAAACCTTGGGAGAATGAGAGACCTCTAACCRCTACCCTGGAGGGAAGTTCCCTCCTTCCTCACCCACTGATGTCTGAATGTGTCACTCATCAGGTATGTATTACAGTATGTGTCAATCTCTATTTCAGGGGTTCTGCTTGCTGTTCACTGGTGAGTCTGTCTAGGGTAGACAAACTTATAAAGCATCAAGGGAAAGGATGGATCCCCTTGGATTAGGGCCCTCAGAAGGAGCCTAATCAAAAGAGTGGACAGAGGACAGTGGGTGAGGAAGGAGGGATCTTTCCTCCACAGTAGTGACATGACATGCGTTCAGATGCATACATTTGCACACATGCTAGGTAACTCATTCACATATATGAACTATGCAGACATCCACGTGATATGTACATACCACTCTGATACATACATATGCTATACATATAATATCTACCTCAAGCCTTTTAATCCTTAATTATAAAAAGGCACACACCATTGTATGTACAAGCACATACAAACTAATGGTTACATAATATACTTCATGAATCCACACATACATTTATTACATACAGCTTTATTTTATTTATTTATATGTGGTGCTGAGGATTGAACCCAGGGCCTCACACATGCTAGCCAAGTGCTCTACTGCTGAGCCACAACCCCAGCCCTCCACACACATACTCTTATCAATACATACAGCTCTACCCACAGAAAAATGTCACTTGCATACACACTGGCCTATCACCATAACTTTACTGCTTGAGAAATTCCTGAGGACTATTTTTTGGGATATTTTGTTTTGTTTCATTTGTGATTCTGGGGGATCAGATGTGCTTCACTTCAAACCCTTTTTATTTTGAGATAGGGTCTTGCTAAATTGCTGAGGTTGGACTCCAACTTGTGATCCTCCTGCCTCAGCCTCCTGAGTAGTTGGAATTACAGGCATGTGTCATCATACCCAGTTCCTGTGAACTCCTAATTTAGGAACCCCTCTCCCTATAAGAACCTGGGGATGAGGGTGATGTGAGAACAATTGCCAGTCCTACAAATTGCTGCCTCCACCTCYTACTATTTTAGGTACCTCCTGTGTTCCTTTGGGTACCTTTGATCCTTTACTCCTCCACATCTACCAGAGTTCAGAGACTCAGATGGCCCCAGTGAACTCCTTGGCCCTGGGGAATCCCAGCATGCCCACCCCCACCCAGGCCAGTTCTGCGGCCCTGCTGACTCATCTCTCCCTCTGTGGAGCTCCCCAACCACAGGGGCCTGGAAGAGAAGCTTGGAAAGTTGCACTCATGTCCCGGGCCCTGGGTCTGGCCACTACCCCCCCCCATGCACCCAGGCCCAGCCCTCATCTCCAGAGATGACTCCAATAATAGAGAACATAGAGGAGATGAGAAAGAAGTCTGAGTGCAGAGAAACAGAAAGACAAGGGGAGAAACAAGGGAAAAAACAGAGATGGTG